CCAACTTGCATACTTGTGTAAAATACCAAGATTACATCTTCCAATATGAAGATTAATCAAATTTTACTCACAAGTAATTGAACTTAATGGATTTTAATCAACCAAAATATGAAAAAATCTAAACTTGGTTCAACATGGAATTTAGGGTTAGGGTTCCAATCATTTAAACACTTAAAGATTAGAACTTTAACAATACTTGGGAACTTAAAAGTACAAAATCACAACAAGTTTTCACACCTTATTGCAATTTATTTGCAAAATTGTGAAAAACAAGTTTATGTGATAGCTTGGTATATCAACTTAAGCACTAATAAAAACTCCATTATTATGCTCAAGGATATTTTAAAACCAGTAGATTAGTGATGCAAATGTGCATTTAATCTAACCTTGTAATGCTTGCTTTAATCAAGGCTTAAAAAGAATTAAAACTTTCGTTGAAAAACGAAAAACTCCAGAAAAATTGGGTTTCTGGTTCGAATTTGGCTTTTGGACAACCCTAAAAGGATTGAAACAGTTCCAGAATGTCGATTCCACCCAAAAATCACTATTTTTGAGCCAAAATCTGGGTTCGACAGCCAATCGATAATAAAATAGAGTTTTAAAAATTAATTAAAACGAGCATCTAATCTAATTAGATGAACATGAACCAGAAAAATAAATTCCTTAAAACACCTTAATTAAACAATAATTGCAAAAATTAAAAGGAGCGTGGCTCCGATACCGCTGTAGGGTTTCGTAGTGACCCGACACTACGCGGAAGGAAACCCACCAAGACCCGCCCCTTAATTAAAGCAATTAAACAAGCATAATAAACTTAATCAAACAAGATTAAGGACAAGAATTATACTTTGACGCGTGTTTCGCTCCCAAAGAGCTCTTACTTCAAAATCCCGAAAAGACGAGATCTCCGACGGATCGTACCCTCGACTCGACCCGAGCGTCCTAAGTCTTGAAGGTTAGTCAAGACCCGGACAAAATAACTATGAGTTTTACGAATCAAAGGTTTACTCTTTTCAAGAGTGGCCTTTTTAATTCCACTCAAGGTTGTCTCAAATCCCAATACCAAGTTTGATATTTATAGGGAAATGATCCCTTGATTTTTCATCCTCCACCAATGTGGGAGAATGTATTTTGCTAATTAATTTATTTCTAAAATAAATTATTAAACAAAACTAATCACAATGCAACAAGTGTCAAATAGAGAGAGAAGGTTAGCTGAGGACCATGAATGGGTGGGGGGGGGACCATTGCCTTGCTCCTCAAGGCCTTGCCCAAGATTGGTCCCCACCCCTTCACCTAAACCGCCACTACATGTTCAGCTGGGCTGGCAGCCTGCCTTGGCTGCCAAGGCTGCCAGCTGGCACCTAGCACCAAGGCTGGGCAGCCAGCCAGCTTGGTATGCTAGCAGGCAGTGCTAGCATGCACTGGCCAAGCACGCATCAGCCCTAGCACGCTGCGAGCTGCTGGGCGCTGATGCTGCTAGCCTAGCGCTGCTGTTGCCTAGCATTCTCTCTCGCATCGCATCGCTAGCACAGCCAGTGCTAGCTGGGCATCGCTGGCGCTGGCCTCGCATGCTACGCACTGGCTGGTCGCATATGCATCACGCACCAGCCATGCGCCACACACCACGCACATGCTCGCGTCCATCGCTGCACCTCACGCATTGCTAACCCACACATTGCTATCCCACACGCACATGTACACATTCGCACTAGCCAGTGCCTAGCACTGCTTGTGCTTGGTGCGAGGCAAGCGCACACGCACATGCATGCGTGGTGGTGCTGCCTAGCACCTAGCCAGCCATTGCACGCACACGCACCAGCCCACACGCATTAGCGCGGCTGCTGTGCGAGGTAGTGTGCGAGGCTGCAAGGGACACACGCACACACACGCATGCCCCTAGCATTGCGATGGTGCTTGTGCGTGGTGCCAGGCCTTGCGATGGTGCCTAGCAAGGCCTGTGCGCTGCGATAGGGCACCACATGCACCCAGGCACCACGCTAGCATGCTGCTAGCTGCTATGGGCTGCCTGGTGCCTTTGTGGCCTGCGATGGCTGCCATGCGCACCTAGGCACCCATGCTAGCATGCTGCTAGCTTGCGATGGGCTTCCAGGGTGCGCCTAGGCTGCGATGGTGCCTAGCACACCATGGTGCGCCTAGCACACACATGGTGCACCTAGGCATGCTATGAGCTAGCCTAGCCTAGCTACGGCTACGCTCAAACTTGTTGCTTGTGATTTTGCGACGCTCGGTATCGACACCCTGGGCTCGATTTTCGACGTCTGTATTCGTAAAACTCTGTCGACTCATTAAATCCTTTCGGATTAATTCGACGTCTCGGATCGGAGATTCGATTGGGTTCGACCCGAAGGGTTCAGTTAAGATTAAGCTGTAATATCAATTGTACCTTGATATTACTGATCGAAAGCGGCCTCCACCTAGGCATTCCGATCACTTGACCTTACTGAAGAATTAGCTCTGTAATAATTCTGAACCCTCTATCGGAATAATACACTTGTTGGAAGGACACCATTCCTTTCAATTGGATAGACTTAATGAAATGTTTAAACGAGTAGAGGAATTTACCTTGTTAAACATGAAGGACTTTGAAAGGCTTTCAACCCATGTGTATAAAACTAAGTAGATGTTTGAACTAAGTATAAGCTAGGCTAATACTAAATCAAACAAGAAAGGATCTAGGAGAGACTTTCAACCGTATCATATAGCAAATAATTTAGCAAGACTCGGTGAAATTGGATGAGCTAAAAGGTCACATGAAAGGAATAAATTGGGAATAATTCTGCAATTGAAACCATCATGTGTTCTATGATATGGAGTCGTCACTCAACTTACATGCTTAGAGCATGAGAAGTATCAAATACCAATCAATTTAAATCTCAGTAATGGATCAAGAACATCCAAAGTACTTGGATAAGTAGAAGAGATGAGTTCTTGACGTATTGAAACAAATGTAATTTGAAAATTGATGTTGCAAGCACATCCTTAGCAAGGATTAGATCCCTAATAAGGAAGCCGTTTATAAGCACGAGCTAGAATGTGTCGTGGTTTGAGAATGGTAATATGGACGCGCATCCATGTATAATGTGCGGAAATTTAAGTAAATTTCCATAACCACAAGTGATTAGGGTCTCCCAAATCATTGTGAGCCATTTGGAATGAAATCCGAACAAAGCACCATCAGAATGTCTACTGAAATATATGTTGAGAATATTGTTGCCCGGAAGGCAATAATAAGAAAGTGTTCAATGGAAAGTTCATTATCGAATATTGATTGTTGGTTGTCAAGTTGAAAGATCTCAAGTCATGAAAATGAATGGGAGCCATCACTTGGACAATAAATCCTAAATCACATATGATCCATAACACTCTCAAAATTTTATCATCTTATTATGAAATTGTTCGATATGAAGATGCTAAGATTTGCAAAGTAATAATAGCTAAACCTATACAATAAGTGAACAACAACATTCACGAGAATTGCATGAAAGAAATCTAGCATAATATATATGGGTGTGATTTCTATAAATGTTTTGTGAAGAGTGTTACTCTTAAAACATTTGGGGAAAACCATTTATCATAAGATGAAACATTTGGAAGTTTCACAGTGGAATAAAATTTTACTAATAAAATTCCACAAACTATTTAATTGTGGTTTAGAATTAAATAACGAGTCCATTCGATTTTAAAGAATATTCAAAACAGGATATCAAGACCATGTCTTGGATAAAGAAACACCTGTTAAGTGAACATTGAATATTTCAATCAAAAATTATCCCTAATCAAGGTCATTTAAATGATGGACGATTAATGACCACTTGAGATTAGTGTGTAGTATGATTTATAGCACCGTTTCTTGTGCTACGAGGACATGATTGTCATAAATCATTTGCATAGGTATTGGTTTAGAACTATACCGGATCGACCTATGAGAATACTTTAAGAGATTTAAAAATCGTCATAAGTATATTTCTCATTATAGCCATCGAAACCTTTTTCCTCGACCATGGGTATTATAAGTTCTCTTGTTTGAGTACTTGTCCGTTTTGATGTTGTTAAACGTTTGCCGTAAATGGGGATTATAACAGCAACACTCGGGCGGCTAGGTCCTCTTAGTAAGGGAAGCTAACAATGCAAGACTGGGAATGTCCCCACTACAGACAATAGGGAATATTTCTTTGTTGTTTACAAGGCCTCTCGAAGAGCGAGACTGTGAAAATGCATGGCCATGCTCAGATGGATTTTAGAAATCAACTGCTTGTTGACAGTCAAACTTGGGAATCGAGAAACACTTCTGGACGTAATAACGATGACGAAGAATCTTACCTAATAGTTCATGAAGAGACATTAAGTGACATATTTCACACTTGTCCAGAAGGACAAGTGGGAGATTGAAAGGAATGATGTCCTTCCAACAAGTGTGTTATTCCGATAAAGGGTTCATAATTATTAGAAGGTTAATTCTTTAGTAAGGTCAAGTGATCGGAATGCCTAGGGGGAGGCTGCTTCCGATCAATAATATTAATGTGTAATTAATATTACAGCTTAAGCTTGACTGAACCCTTCGGGTCACGCCCAATCAATTAGCCAATCCGAGACGACGAATTAATCCGAAGAACACTAGGCGAAAAACCCCAATCCCCACCGGTTCAAACCACATATTCCCCACTGGTTTTGAACCGGTTTTGATTTGGGGGGTGCTAAATCCCAAAAGATTTGCCACCGGTTCAAAATCGGTGGCCAAAACAACTTTTCCCACCGGTTTTGGAGTGAACCGGTGGCAAAACCATGAGATTTCCCACCGGTTTACACATTGAACCGGTGCCAAAAGTGGCAAAAAAATTATAAAAAAACTTTTAGCACCGGTTCTGTTCAAAACCGGTGCCAAAAGTGCCCAAAATTTTATTTTATTTTTTTTGCATTTTTTTCACTTAAATTGTACCAAATACTTGTATATAATCATAATATACATAAAACACATATTTTCTTCAATAAATTGTAATATTACACTTAAAAAAACTAAAATAAAAAATGGCGATACAATTATCTGAGGAATTGTTCAAGTTTGAGTTTGTCTGCATTTGCCAGTTTGAGGAGTTGTTAATGAGCTTTACTCAGCCAAACACATACCTGTCTTTGCAACTGTTCAAGTCTAAGTTTCTCTGTATTTGCCAGCTCATATTCACCATTTTCCAAGTGTCTCTAATCTGGCCTAAGCCTCGAGTCAGTTGGTGGCAGCTTCTCTTGCAAACCAGGAGTCAGTTGATTGGTTTCCTATCGCACCAGCAGCTACATTTGATGTAATTGTAGGGCAATCTTTTGCCCAGTGCCCTTCCAGGCCGCATTTGAAGCAGGATGAACCACTTTTCATGCCATAGCTTCTGTTGTCAGTGGCTTCGAACTTCTGGTTTTCTATCGCACCAGCAGCTACGTTGGATGTAGTAGTTGGGCAATATTTTGCCCAGTGCCCTTCCTGGCCACATTTAAAGCAGGACGAACCACTTTTCATGCCATAGCTTTTGTTGTCAGTGGCTTCGAACTTCTAACCATAACTGGTGTTTGGAGCAGTAGTTCCTTTATCAAAGTCGTTCCATGATCTTGTAAACCCATAAGCTGCCTGCGAAAATATTTTTGACTGACCACATTAATAAACTTGAAAAGCAAGTCAGAAGTTTTATTTTACACACAACATATTTTTAGGTGACCGCAAAATATAGTAGAATTTAAGTACTAATACTCAAATATATTGCCAGAAGATGAATATTCCTTGGATGGCACCAAACAAAATCAGCAACCCCCCCCCCCCCCTTCTCTTCCGTACCGTAGTCTAGAGGACAACAGGACATCCATCAAACCCAAAATATGCAGCTTTAAAACCAAGCAGAACGACAAAATTACAAACTGTATTTCACGCAAATCCAAATCTTGAAATGAAGTTTTTATAGAATCCAATTGGAAATCCTTAAATAATGACCAGCACAACAAAGTTCATGACGTCTATATAAATAATCTAGTTTCCTAAACAGAATCCATAGATATTTAGCATTCACATGCTAGAATAATGATACACTTTAATACTCCATAAAAGTGATGTAGAGGATCCATTGTTATTGTTAACTTATAAATGATCAAGTAGAGATTTTAACTACTACATTACCTCAAAAGAAAGAATTAATTCTAGAAAATGAAAAGGAATACAAGGTAGGTAGTTAACCAGAGAAGGGAGGGGAAGGCAAGTACATCTGAGTAACCAAACTGAGATTGCAAAGGCACTAGGAAGCTATCATACGAATAAAAAAAAGGTAAAAGACATAGCTACATGCCTACATTACTGAAGTCATTAATCTAATGCCACATTATCATAGCCCAAAAGTACCTGGTTAGGCTGGTTAGTACGGCGCTGGTAGAATTGCTGCTGCCCTCCATTCTTCCAAGCCTTATCTGCTGATACTTAAGATGGCATGATGGGTACTTAAGCGACTGTGATGTGATGAAAGAACAGGCGCAGCAACAGTTGGAGAATGCACTGCTTGAAATTGAAACTTTGACTACCAATGTCTCAGAAGCTCAGTCAGCTATCAAGCCGCTTGAAGATGCACTGGCAGTTGCAGAAGAGAAAAGTTCTCAACCTGCAGAGTGCTAGAGCCTCCAGACTACAGATATGTTCTGTCCTAAATTTGTGCTGGTCTCAAGAGAGAACAATAAAAATTAAAATGTTGCAGCTATATTTCACAAGTTGGAACAACTAAATGCAAAAATAAAAGCTGAGCGCCATAAAATAAAAGTTGCTGGTTCCCGTAAAATTAAAATGTTGCAGTTATATTCATCAGCAATTTAAAGAGCTCCTGTTTTATTGATCTTTACTTGAAAACCTGAGCGCCGTAAAATAAAAGTTGCTGGTTCCCAGTGATTAAATGAATCCAATTGCTTGACAAGCAATACAAAAATATGTATCACTTCACAGTCTATAAGCCTTAAAAATGTTATAAATACAACATGAATTGGTCAGATATGATTAGAAGGCATAGACAATGTATTTCCAGCATGAAGTAATTTCTTTTCCTTTATTGTATACATTGGGTATATTAATATATTTCTAAAAAAAATGGCTAGATCACCTCAGATCCTATTCAAAATCAACACAAATAGAAGCCACCCCTTACCTAAATGGTCACTTGAATAAATTACCTCATGTGTCGTCCAATAAAACTTCATCCTGATTTTTCAAATTTTTCTCTACTGTGGTTATTTACTTTTCAGCTAGAATATATTAAAGATCAATCTCTACGTAGAGGAAAAATAAGTTGTTCTGCACAGAAGCCTTTATTTAAAAAAAGAATAAAAAGAAAAAAGAATTTAAATCATTCTTTCCTTCCAAATTTCACCAATGCAACAGAAAGTGTGAAACAAGAATTTTACAGGGACTTTCATATTAGTATTTTCCTTCCCTTCCAATACTTATGTATAGTTCAATCCAAACAAGGAAGAATTATATGATTTTATCAGCAATTATAAAGCTTGAGAAATCAACCCTCAAATCGGGTCAACTATCCCTAGGGACCAAGATATCTAACATTTCATCCTCTTTCCCACTTGTTTAAAGCTTTAAGGGGGCCGGCAATCAAGTCTAGAGCCTATATCTCCATAATGGATTATGCAAAGATTTTAAAACAAAAGGCAATGTTCTTGGGTCGTGAAAAGATAATTAAGGTGAAAAGAGAACCCTTTACAAAGCATCGTTACCTCATTAAACAGATCCAACAAGTCAACATAGTACTTCTTGTCCTTAAAATGCTTCCTGAGAATTCTTGGGATTTGGTTTCGAAGTATTATTCCATCATTGACAGCAATCATCCCAACCTGACAGGATAAAATTTTCATTAAATACTGATTTTGCAAGCTTATAATGCAGTATAAATAAAATACTATTTTTAAAGGCTCATTTTCACAACAGAAGCAAACCTTAGGAACTCTGAACCAGCAAGGTTTACCACGCCTTGTATGAGAGTTATCCATGATGTCATCAAGAACGAGAAAATATGCTTCAAGCTGTTAGAGAGAGGGACCAGAAATAGAAAAATCCTGTTAGTGATATCCCTAAAAGATCAAAATAAGGGACTGCTACATAACTTCAGTGAAAATTCATATCTATATACCCATTCAATGCACCACCTCAGGGCAGAAGCAAGAAAGACTTCATCATCAGTCAGCTCTTCTCCTTCCTTTAACAGTTTGTAGCTGTCAATAACAGAAAGCCCGCGATTTAGCTTCCCTGCAAGACACAAAATCAGCACCAAAATGTAACGTAAATTAACTTGTGGAATTCCAAAAAAAATTGGGTTAAGGCTTGCGTTGTTTGTATATAGGTGTCTTAAGCTTCTGAAATTAGATATTCTACTTGTTCCTTATGACATTAATATCTTCAATATCTTGTTCTTCTGAAAGTTAAGCTACATAAATTTCAAAGTATACAAGGAAGAAGGACATATTTTAAACTTTTACTGCCTTTTGAATTTCAAATTTTCATAACCATCACATCATTCGGTGAAATTTTTTAAAATGATACATCATAAATCTAGTAGAGGAACTTATTATTATCTTTATTTTTGTTTATTCTTGTCACTCATAAGATATACTTCGTATAAAACAATTATTTCCTCAATATCAAAAAAAAAATAAAGTAAAATAAAAAAATCAAGGTGACCATAAAACATTTTAAACAATTTTTTTTTCTTCCAAAAGAACAAACACAAGATAGAGCAGAGAATCAAATGCCAAACATCCTTCATATTCCAAACATGGCCCAGTATTTATTTTTAAAATGAGTAAATTGTAAAAGGACAGAACTTCCTCACCTCCTGGAACATTATAATCTAGCATCTGCAGGGGAAAAATAAACCAAAAAAGAGCATGTAAGAAAAATATATACGACACCGTAATATTATTTCAAAAAACAAAAAAGGCGGTTTAAAATTCAATGATTTTACAGAGTTATTTTTACTTCTTTATTCACAATTAGGCACAAAAAGGAATTTAGTAATTGCATTCAAACTTTAATTACCAAAACTCTAAAACCCAAGAACCCCACTTTATATCTTATGATTTCCTATGCAAATAGTCTCACATTCTTGATTCAATAGCATCAGCACTTGAAATTGCTAGAAGACATGATTAAATACATAGAGAAGTCTAACTAAAATCATCTTAAGAGACGATAACATAATTCTACGATATCTCTTAACAATAATCGTTCTAATTATACCATCTTCCCATCAATTAAATTATTTAATCATTTATAATGAAAAACAAACATAAACCATCACAATTTCATGCATCACAACAACTTTTTCCGAAAATCCAAAATCGGTTCATGTAATGTGGTTCCATAACAGGATTTATCAAATTAAAATTCAAAACCCCATAAAAATCATACAAGAACACCAATTCAGAACAATTCAACTACAGGATAAATATCCAAGTGTTAACATGCTAATTGCCATTTAGGCTGCTAAAAAAGGAATGCTAAAATGCTAATTACAGGGGACAGAGAACATTTCAACCAAGTTTAAGGAGTTTAGGTAAAGAAAATTCAAGTCCGTCCATTATAGTCCTTTTTATTAGAGATTATCATGGTTCATCAGGCAAACTAAAGGTAAAACCATCATCTTACCTCGAAGCTGGTTCAATGGAGGTGAGAAAGCTCAGAATCGGTGGAGGTGTAGCCGTGACAAGGAGGCCGTTAGAGTGGAGGTGTAGCCGTGCGCGCTTCAATGACAAACCCTATATTACCACAACCCTAAAATTACTAAATTGAACAGAAAATCAACGACAAACCCTAGATTGCCAAAAGATAATCAATGAATTCGCACAACCACAAGAAAAATCTTATCTCGAAGTGAGTTCAATGGAGGCCAGAGCTGGTTCAATGGAGGTGCTGCTTCAATGGAGTGAGAAAGCGCGTAAACAAATTCAATGGAGAGAGAGCGAGCTGCTTCAATGGAGTGCAGAAGGAGATGCGAAAACGAGAGGAAGATGCGAAAACGGGGAGGGAAAGCTGGGAGGAAGAGCAGGAGACGCGTAAATGGGAGGGAGAGAGAAGAGCAGAACGAAGAGGGAAAGCAGGGGGAAAAAGAAAGAAGAAGAAAGAAAGACTTAAACCGGTTTTTTTTAACATTTCGCACCGGTTTTGGTTAGAACCGGTGGCAAATCCCTTTACTCCCTTTTTTTCGTTTGTAATTCGCACCGGTTTAATAGGAACCGGTGCGAAAAGTCATTTAGCTTATCCCGCCCATTTCTTTTGCCACCGGTTTTCAAGAACCGGTGCGAAAGGTGCGGTGTCTAATTCATTTTTTCTACTAGTGGGATTAAATGAGTCGTTAGAGTATTAGGAACAAAGACGTCGAATATCGAGCTTAGAGCGTCGAGACCGAGCGTCGCAAGTCGAGTCGAATTTGGAATTCGAGAAGACGTGAAATCAAGCAAGCGACAAGTTCGAGCCAAGCCATAGCCTCGCATTGGCCTAGTCATGCGAGTGCTAGGCTAGGCAAGGTCACCATCCCATGCGATCCTAGCATCGCCTCGCACACGCACATCGCAAGGCACTAGCATCGCAAGATGCGTGCCATGCGTGCATGTGCTGTGGCTATGCATGTGTGGCTAGGCGTGCTTGCTAGCATACAAGCACAGCCATCGCATCATGATAGGCATGGCTAAGCACAGCCCGCAAGTATCGCAAGGCCAGTAGCACGCAAGTGCTTGCTGGGCCTTGCTACCGCAACCAGGAAGCACATAGCACACGCACCGCAGCTCGCTATGCATGCTTGTGCTATGGGCTATGCGTGCTAGGCAATGGCACGCACTAAGCATTCCTAGGCCTCGCCTATCGCACAGCGTCACGCACCAAGCAGCAGCGTGTTAGGCATGCTAGGTTGTGCGTGTGTGTGCTAGCAAGCCGCACCAAGTAGCTGCGTGCTATGCATGCTGGGCTGTGTGTGCGCGCTAGCGAGCAGCACCAATCACCATGCCACTCGCACAACAACACGCACCAGGCAGCAGCGCATGCGTGTGCTAGCTGGCTGTGTGTGCTGGCTTGCTGCGCATGTGCGCGGGCAGGCTGGCTAGCAGCCCAGCCTTAGTGCTAGGCACCAGCTGGCAGCCTTGGCAGCCAAGGCAGGCTGGCAGCTAGCCAAGTGGCGAGGTGGTCCGATTTTGTGTGGGGACTAAGGGTTGGTGCTTAGCTTGGGGAGCAAGGTTATTTGGTCCCCGCCTTTGGTTGTCCTCACCTACTCTCTCCCTCCATGTGACACTTGGACCTTGTTGATTGCCTTGCATCTTATTTTGTTTTTGATCAAAATAAAAATAGAGAAAAATACAAATCTCCCACATTGATGGGAGAATGGAGATCAAGTCTCCATTCCCTATAAAAACCCAAGTTTTGGGTTTGGAAAAAATCACTTGAATTGAACTCAATAAGGTGTTTCCCTATAGATGAGGAAACCTTTAAGTTCGTAATACTCTAGTCTTTTCTTGGTCTAGCCCTGACTAACCTTCGGGGTAGAGGCCATTCGGGTCGGGTCTCGAGGGAGGACTCCGTCGGAGGCTCTCACGCTTGCGGAGCTAAGGCTTTGAAGTTTGAGCTTTATGGGAGCGAAGCACGCGTCAAGGGTAAGAATGTCTTTTCTCTTTCTTTTTCTTATGTTGTTAATTATGTGATTGCATGTTTAATTACTTTAATTAGGGAGCGGGTCTTGGGCGAGTTTTTCTTCCGCGTAGCGTTGGACGCTACGAAACCCAACAGTTGGGTTTGGTAAGGAATTCGAGTAAGCGGCCTAGATAGCTTGAATTTCTCACATAGCCAAAGTTGAAGCACAATTTGACATCCTTTGACAAAATCCCCAGGGTTTTGCTTCAAATGGTCAAGCCCCATCATGAGCTCGCCCAGGATGAAAGGCCCTAACTGGCTCCTTGACTCAATTTATAAAGAGAAAGTTGTAAGAAAATTCTCTAGCATCAAAATAACAAGCAGGTGCTAATTGCTTACCATATTGCATGGTATGCCTAGTAAATCCCTCATAACTGCATCATTTCCCCTTGGGTCAGTAGGAGTAATCACACGGCCTCGTTTAGGGAGACCTAATAAACCCTCCACTTCTTCTAGAAGAGGGGTCATTTTTGTCTCTCCGAAGCGAAAAACATGGCGTTCTTCATCCCAAAATTCAACAGCAGCATGAATCATATCATACCGAGGTTGAATATACAAAAGGGGAGTGATGGTTTTGGTAAAGTCACTAGTATAAGGAGAAAGACGTGGTGGAGAAATATTTTCTACCACCTCTTTCAGTTGGAGCTTTCTAGCTCCACTAATTTCATTAATTTCTTGATACATTTCATTCATTTTTTTTAGAGGGAAAAGATGGAGGAAAGAAGGAGAAAGAATAGGAAAGGGAGGAGAAAGGATGGTTTGGTGTGGAAATGAATGAACACCACCACCCTTTATATAGGGGGGGTGGTGATAATGGCTCCAAAAAAACGAAGCCAAAAGAGTTTGCTTTTCCGCAAACTCAATACTAACCATCTGATGTTTCACTAGTAGAAAAAACTAAATAGGCACCCCCCTATAGCACCGGTTCTTGAAAACCGGTGCCAAAATAAATGGGCGGGGCTTAAAAATTCAGAGTTGGCACCGGTTCTAACCAAAACCAGTGCCAAGCATTTAATTAGCACCAGTTCAAACTGGTGCCAACTTATGAAAAAAAAAAAAAAGTATGGGAAAGAGTTGGCACCGGTTCTCCTTAAACCGGTGCCAACTATGGTATTTAGCATCGGTTTAAACCGGTGCCATTTTTGAAAAAAAAAACCGGGCGAAATAAAAAAAAAAAAAATCGGGGTATTCATTTCTCTGCTTCTTCTTCTTTCTTTCTTTCCCCCCTGCATTTCATTTTCGTTATCCCTAACTCTCGTTTTCGCCTTTCTCTTAGCTTCGACCACCTTTCTCCATATTTCTCCTCCATTACGCGTGCTCGTAGTTCTCCATTGAAGCGCATTCTGAGCTTTGTCCATATCACTCCTCCACTACGCGTACTGTTAATTCTCCATTGAAGCGGATTCGAGCTTTCTCACCTTCATTGAAGCAGCTTCGAGGTAAAAATTTGTTTTTGTCCTTTTGTTTTCGCAATCTAGGGTTTGTCGTTTATTTGATTATCGAATTTAGGGTTAGTTCTTGTAAATTAGGGTTAGTTTACTACTGCAACCCTCTTAATTTCGATTAGGGTTCTCTGGGTTTGGGTTTCACTTTGGGGTTTTTCTGGATTTGACTTTCTTTTAGGTAGTCAATGGGGAGGCAGTTTTGTGGGGGGTTTAGGGGTTTCTTGGGTGCTCAGGGTGGCTGCGGTGGTCGATTTTGACAGTTCAGATTACATTGATTATGGCACATCTGGTAAAATAGCAGGCTTCATTGCTGAAACAATTCAGGTTTACCTGTCTCTTTGTTTCGTGCTTCAAAAGTTACTTGTTTTTAGTTACTGTAACTCAATGGTACTTGTTATTTATGTTTAGGGTGTTGGAGGAGCAGTTGAATTAGCTCCTGGATATTTGAAGCTGGTGTATGATATGGTACGTAAGGATGGAGGAGTCTGCATTGCTGATGAAGTTCAGACTGGATTTGGTAGAACAAGGAGCAAGTATTGGGGCTTTGAAACACAAGGCGTTATTCCTGATATAGTGACAATGCAAAGGTCTTTTAGTATACTCTAGCTGTAGTACTTATTTTGATTTAACATAATGTCTTTTATCTGACCAGAACTTAACATAATGTTGCAGGGTATCGGCAATGGCCTACCCCTTGGAGCAGTGGTGACCACACCTGAGATTGCTAGCGTATTGGCTCAGAAAATTCAATTTAATACTTACGGAGGAAACCCGGTGTGCTCTGCAGGTGGTCTTGCAGTCCTGAGGGTAATTGACAAGGAAAAACGTCAACAACACTGTTCTGATGTAGGGACCCGCCGCCACTCACCCTGCGCCGGCCACCCTCCGTTCAATTTCGTAATTTACTCATGCTTCAACTGTATTACCTTCTTTTCATTCTCTAATTCCTTGTTTACATTTCACTTTAGCATTTCTGAACATTTTATTCTGGAATTTTGGTCAGGTTGAAATTATCTTAATTGTGATGAATTTATTGACTTACATTTTAGGTTAATTGTTTAGCATCGTTGAAAAATAAGGACGGGAAATTTTATATTTTAGGTTGATTTTGTGCGCTTTGTTCTTTCTGAATCTTAGTTTTGATTCTGATCATAGTTTGGGTTATTTATGTAACTTGGACTCTTCATTTCACCTCGGGTTCTCTTGTCGGATCCTCAGCATTGGAAATTTTTGGAAACTTGGAAACTTACCTGAATCCGAGTAACCTAGGTATCCAGTTGTAATAAATTTATGAACTGCGAGAAGTGTTTTGATTTTTTGTTGCGAATTTGAAAATTTTCGGGCTGACATGTATGTGCGAAGTAACGTCATGTATGATCTTGGTGATTGTTTCGGGGTTTTCTGATGTCCTGCGGGAGAGTTACAATTCCGAGACTGGAACCGGACGCCTGTACCTGCAAAATAACGGAGACTCCTGGGAGCTCCGCCTCCAACGGTCAAGTTAGTACCTGATTAAGGAGAAATTAATGCGGAAATTAAAGTGATTTGGTCTCTCTAGGTTAGAGTGTTTAAGGTAGGTAATCTGCTTTGTTAGCGAGATCAGCCGCTTATTACTGTGTGTAATTAATGTGTTTTTTCCGTAATGTTTCTGTTCTCTCCCTTAATGAGGATTAAGGGAGGTATTTATAACCTTGGAAAACGTGCCCATCCTAGGTTTAGGTAAACCTAGGGTCGATTGGGCTTCCCTCGAAAGTTGGGCCTGGGTGGCCGGTTTCTCCATTAGGCATGGAGTATGCCACATGTCTTGACATAACAGGTCCAAGGTGGACGAATAAGCGCGTGCCACGTGGGAAGCCCTGACTGTTCCAAATGGGGGACACTTGGCAGGACCTGATTGGTCCACGTGGCGCATTCCGATTGGTGGGAGCAAAATCCCCTAATCATTTGCCCCTCACAGGTGGCACGTGATTGGTCACGTGTTACCTGTGACACGTGTCGCACTGTAACAGGCGACGGCCTGCTACAGGTGTCAGTCGGCGAAAGGACGAGAGATTTTCCCGCCCAAATTTTGAATTCTGAAAGTGACCCTTC